GAACACTCATTTGCTTTCACATGTTTTATGCTACAATCAACTATATCCTGTTTTGGCATCCTGGTAGGACTCGTAAGGATATAATTAAATATATAGCACTTTGTATATTAGACAATTTGATGTTTCAAGCTTAAAGAGTATCTATACGATTGATGCAAGAGAAGTAGTGTATAAACACTAGAGTGAGATATCAAATGCACGACTCATGTTGGGTCATCAATGAACTTGCTCTCCCATGACAAGAACCTACATTCTAATTTTGAGTATCTCTATATTTTAACTTTTGAGACAAGTTGTTTACTTTCCAAGTAAGAAACATAGAATGTAGTAGTCTCTAAGTATTATTGATGTCCAGTCTTAATGATACATCAATTAGGAACATTTAGAGATTATACTTTGATGTATAGGGATCTCATAATTGCAATTTATTGCAATTCTCTTGCAAGACATTAATCTCATGTATTATATCCAATTAGATTTATAACCCACTATAATTGATGTCTTATTAAAGAAAGAAAACCTCTAATTATCCAATGTAAATGATATTCTTTTACGATTGGAACTAAGTTTTAACCAATCTCAATTGGCCGTAAAGTTCATTCTAACGATTGATGTGAATAGCATTATCTAATACAATTAGAGTTTCTTGTAGTTTTTCTAATGGTTGGAATGTAATTATAAATGATGTTTTGTATTTTTTTGCCTTATTTGTTTGCTATTATCTAAAGATGTAATTAGATGCTGATTATTGACTTTGATGTTAGACCTATTGATAGTGGTCCTTTTTTTTGTAAAGCTGATGACATAGGTTCTGTTGTAATACTATTAGTCTCTTTGTGTACAAAGGTTAAGGAAAATAGTAGTCCTTATATATCAAAGGACTTAAAGTTATTTTTGTATAGAATATATATTGAATATAAATACAAATGATATTACTTTATGTAATTATTGATATGAATGCAAATAATATTACTTTATGCAATTATTGTGTAGGACATATATTGAATTAACCCATCACTATTATTGAATTCCTTTATACAATTATTATAATGCAAATATTACTTGATTGGAAGAAAAGCCTTTGCATTAACTCATCACTTGTTATGTTAAATATCAATGCAACCAGGTTTTTATTTTTTGTTTGGTCTAATACTATTGTCATAGATAATCAAGAAGAATGGTGCCTATGGTCTCTACTTTTTTGGTAGCTATGTAGCTCTATTTATGATGCAAATTTAACTTTCGAAAAAAAAAATGTTGAATATCAATGTTTTGCTGTTTATATTTTCATTCAATATTTCAATATTTTAATAATTTTGCATTCAATATTCTAACAACTTACAATCATTTTGCATTCAATATTTCAACAATTTATAACAACTTTTATCAAACACCATTTAAATGCTTAATCTTAAAATTTCTTTTAAATGCTTCTGATTTTTCTTTTACCCATCCCATCTTTTTGGGGCATGTTATCAAACACCATTCAATATTTCAATGTTTCAATCTTCATTTTCATTTTTTCTTTTCCCATGTTTTGCACCTATTGGAGAACTTCCTCTTTTCCCATATCTGGCACTTGTTGGATAGTTTCCATTTTAAGAACCACAAACGAATGTAGGTGATGAGCTATCATACCCACTAATTTGTGGTTCTTGAAATGGAAGTTTTCTAGTAAGATGTAGCAACAGAAGCTTGAAGCTTGAAGGTAAAATTCATCGTTGGTTCTTGAAATGATTTTTTCCTCTATTACTTTCATTATTTCTTCTTTTGTAGAGTGCTAAAAATCAACGAGAAATCTTCTAGATTTCAACAAGAAATCTGAAAATTTTTTGCTTGTGATTTGAGGGGTCTAGTTTTAGTAAGAACATTGAAGGAAAGAAGGGTAAAATTGTCTTAAAATTCATCAAATGAATCAAGATTGACGGCAGGATTTCATTGTTTAATGAAACATATTCTTTTGGGGTGGGCTGTTCATTTCTGAAACTAATAGAGCTGTGTGGAATTATGGGTAAAAGTTAAGAGTTAGTGTATTTTACCCTAGTTATAATGAAATATGTTTATTAATGAGATAGAAAAAAATTTTCTAACTTTTTTTTAACAACTTAGTTTCTTTCGAAATGCAACTCCTTTGAATTTTTTTTTTAATAGTTCACCCACAATTCTCTCTATTTTTTTTTCTCTTCTACCCATTAGTGTATAAATATTGCCACTTGATTACCATAACCACTAACCATCGACGCCAACTTATTTCATAATTACTAAACATTGTAAAAAAAATCTGCACACAACTTTAATTAACCTACTAGAAGGTTTCATGTTTTGTACCAACAATTGGCTGTCATTGCTCCCGCAATTGCGGGTAACACTTCCCACTACTTCGGGTTGTAAGTAGTTCAAATGATGCAAGATAGAGCCTCAATAACCTATGACCGTCTCTTTGATTGTTCCATAACTTAATTTTAGTGAAGTGCTTTGGAGAAGCCACAGTTTTAGTGTACCGAAATCAACTATATTGGAGAATCTAGGAAAAGTTTTAATACTCTGAACCTAAAAGGGGAGGATGGGAACTGATATATTTTGACATTTCAAGATGAGTTAAGCGTTTTTGGACATCTAAATGGAAAAGGTGATCAAGCGTTAATGAATGGAGAATTCATTTCCCTTTGTAGTTATACTCAGATTTTAAGCAATTTTCATTCTTGTTAATTCATTTGTGTTTGCTTCACATTCCCTCTTACTTTTCAGGGCTACATCTGCTATCTCCTCTGTTGTTCTTGGACAATTCAAAATGTGTGTTGTACTTCTTGGAAACTATTACCTTTTTGGCTCAAATCCTGGCATAACCAGTATTTTTGGAGCATTCATAGCCATTGGTGGCATGTCCTTATACACATACCTCAATACACGAGCTATGAAGCGGCAATCCAAGGAAGTGTTGCCTTAGAAGAAGCATCTTCTTTTTTGAAATCTAAAGTGGGTAAAGGAAATAAAGAGAACCATGATGCATATGATTATATGACTATATTGACTATATGACCTACGTTCGCACTTGAATAAATAGTTTTAAGTTAGTAGATTATGCATCTGATACCTTTTACAAGTCATTGAACCAGTTTAATCGTTCTCTAGCTAGTGACAAACCTGTAATTGATCCTTTGTGAGAGAGCTGGTAGGTTGAAGCAAAGTCCATACATGAAGCTTTTTCAGGTTACTAATCAGAGAAACCGCCATGCTGGAGCCTGAAAGCATTCTAGATTGTGAAGAAAAGTTTGCAAGCTCTTGACTAAGAAGAACAAAATTCATGACTCCAAAGTGTCCAACCGGTCGGCTTTGACATCAACAGTCCACGAGGGTACTCGGAAGAAAATGGAACATGCTAGTAGTACGCCTAGAAGATGGCAAGCTCTAAGGCCGAATGGCCATAACATTTACTATGTTTATGTAACTCTTTTTCCCTTTTTCCTTTCTAATTGGAGTTAGATGAGCTAACTTGCTAAGCTGGTACTTTAATTAACGCTATTTGTTCTTCATGTGCCCCCAAGAAAAGAAAAAATGAACAAGATTTCATTAGGCTTCCCTGAATTCCAACCATGTATATATGACTGAAGCACTACATCATTCAGCTAATTTTAACTTTTAGAGGAAAAAACTGTTAAATTTGTTTTCATTATCCTAACTCTTAACATCACCACCCAGCTTAACAGTGTATATTCCACAAACAAGATTCCTATAGCAGTGACAGTGAACATATCCTCAATATCCTCGTAACACTTTCCAATGGAAGCTATTAGAATGACGCCCTTAAGCTTGTAGAAGTAGCCATATAGAGTTCATAATTCCATCAGACTGTAGCAATCATCTTTCGCTTAGTATCATTTCATTGGGATATTAGATATACTAATAAATTATAGATTTATAGTGGCGCTGGACTCTTAACGCATTCAATTCAAGACATGATATTGCATGAATTGATTAGCTGAGGTTCCATTATGGGTTTGAGTCCAACCTCTAACATAACTCTGTTTAAATGCAATTTATGTCGTATAAATTCTGACATATCATGTCAGATATTTGTCCATTTTTAAAGGATTCAACAAGTTATTTATGGAAAAAAAAAATCCAAGAAACTAATATTCTTACCATACCAGCAATAGGTGCTTCAAATTCCTGGCTAGGTTTTAGATTAGACTGGCAATGTTGGTCGGGATATGGCACCAGGACAAGTCTTGGTCAAGCAAGTTGCTCATGGTATCCCACAAGTGTGGTCAGTTACATTGAAGTCAAATAAACTTATCTACTACGTCAACTTCGTATTCGAAGTTTACTGTTTTGTTTATGACGTTGTCGATAACAATTGTTGTAATTCCTGGTGGAAGGATATTGGCATGCATACAGTTCCTTGATCTTTCTTCACTCACCATTAAATTAATAAGAAGAGGTTTTCGAAGTTTTCTTCTTCAAAGGAATTACCGTAAACAAAAGAGTAACAAGTGAAAAGAGGGAACACAAAACCGTTTCCATCCAGTCATGATTCATCCCTCACCTCCGCCGACAGTGTGGGCAACTGTAACAGAAATGGCAGTTTGCTTACAGTCCAAAGTCCAAAGACGAGAGAAGAGAAGAGAAGAGAAGAGAAGAGAGAGAGAGACAGAGAGAGTTAAGCGAGGTGGGTTTGTGTGGCGGAGATTGCAGTTGGAGAGTGGTACTGCCTAATTGGAAAAAAGCTATTTGGATTGAAAATGGGTCCCTTCAGCAATCAATGCCGCTGTTTCTGCAGTACCTGCCCTCTCAAAGCAACAAAACCAAATACCCAAAGCTTCGATTCATTTTTTTCAAAGTTCACGTTTCATTGGTGTAAACTTCACTATTATACCAACCAACCAACCATGAACCAACCAAGGACTACTCGTCATGTCTATTTATTGATTTAAATTAGTATATTGATTGATTCTAGTTTCTTCGTCTCCTATCAATAGAGTCTCACTTTGTAGTGTTGCATGTATTATGCACATGTCCTATCTCTGTCACTATAAAGAACCCTGCCCACTCCTCCTTTATTACTTCTTCTACATTTCCATTTCCATGACTAATATTGTTTGTCATCATCATTATCTCCTCCTATTCAAACAACGCCTACCCAACACTCCCTGTTCATTTCTTTTTCTTCTCTTTTTAATTTTTTATTAAAAGAAATTTTCTTGGTTCTTCTTATTACTCTCTTCATCTTCAAAATACTTAGAAATATCTCTGTTCCACTTTCTCTTTAGCTAACCACAAAAATATCTTACCCTTTTGGGAGGAAGAGGGAGAGAGAGAGAGAAAGAGAGAGTTTGTGTTGTAAATTCCACAAATTTAGGGAAAGAAATAGAATGGCAGAAGAGGAGATGAGTTTGAGTGAGGTAACTGGTCCATTTCGTCAGGTTCTTTTTATCTCAGCTGGTGCTAGCCATTCTGTTGCTCTTCTCTGTATGCTCCTTTTCTCTTCCTGTTTCTTTTTCCCTTTTACTCTTTTTTAATTGCTCTTGTTATTTTTTTTTGTTGTGGTTGATCTTTTTTTTTTCCTTGGACAACTGAGCTAATCAGACTTGATTGGAAATGTCCCATCTTGCACTTCAATTCTGCTTTTTGAGTTCACTGAAATAAGAAATCTTGCCTAAACAGGACATGATGATTGCAGTTTTGAATTTTTGTTTCTAAAATTCATCTCAATATAGTGGAAAGTTGTCATTTTACATTTTTTTTTACGCTCTTGATCAATCAAAGATTCCTAGACTTTTCATTTTGGACAAAACTTTTAGGATCTTTTTATTTTATAAATTTTTTGTCCTTGTTGATTCCTTCATTGTTTTGATTTGATTTATTCTCATTTGATGCTTTATTTTCTGACAGTTGTTTGTTGCTGGAGTTAGTTCTGTGAGCACAGTACGCTTTGCTATTTCCTAGTGTGTTATAGTTTTGCTGTATTCCTTATTGCATTTCGACCATGATTAGTTAACTGTTTCTGATTACATGCATATGATCTTATATTTTATAAATGACATAAATTGACTTTATCCTTCTGGTGGGACTTGTCTATCTTATATCTTGACTTTTATGCCATTTGAGGCATCAATCGTGATATGATTTCCACTGTTAAATGTTGGACATAGTTTGTGATTTATGGCATGTTTGATTTTCCCTATGAATAAATTAATCCATTACATCTTGAATAGGATCCTAGGGAAAAAAAAAGGTGCCTCAGAATAACTTTTAGTATATGGAAGACAAGTTGGATGTTTGGTCTAGGGTTCCTTGCCAGTTCAAAAACAGGACTTTTTTTTGTCTTATCTCTTAGACTTAGGCCTATTTAGACATCATTTAGGATAACTTTAACTGTTATATACTTGACAAATGAAATCTTTAGTTGGCTCTTAAGTTATTTATGGCATGTTTTCAATGTAAATAAACTGGTCCAAGATGTTTTTCTGCATACCATAAAAGAAAGTGCTTCATCTAGATTAACTTTTCATATGAAGGAAAAATTGAATGTGCAGTTTGCTTTTGATGATTGAGATGAAATTTAAAAGTTTATGAAGCACCACTATTCCTTAGTTCTTACTGTTGTTACTGCTGCTGCCTACTATTTCTATTGAAGGCCCTTACTTTTGTTCATGGTCAAGCAAATGAGTAGGCCCTTCAGCTACAAAAAATTAACATAACTTTCCCGGGAAATCATACTTGTACTTAATGTTAATAATTAATTGTATATCTCATTTACATCTGTATGCCAACAGCCCTATGATCTTTTATAATATGATGCTGAAAATTAGTTGAGAGCTTAAGGTATAAATAGTTTCATTGCCATAGCAAAATCCAAGATCCTTTTGTTCATTTAAGCCTTATGGACTTAATTGCTCCGTCATCGCTATTGCTTCCATTAATTCAAACAAACAGAATTTTCAGTATATATTGTCTTGTTGCTTTCTATTTTGAGACTTATCATAAATGCTGTCTTTTGAGTCTTTCTATGTGTGTCTCATGGTTAGGTCGTGAAATTTATTCACCTTTACTTTATGCCTTCCTTTAATTTCATAAATCTACTTAAGCCTTTAATCTTGTTCTTGATCATTTTCAGCTGGAAATGTTGTTTGCTCTTGGGGACGAGGAGAGGATGGGCAGTTAGGCCATGGGGATGCGGGGGATAGGCTTTCTCCAACACAGTTGAGTGCCTTAGATGGACATGAAATAATATCTGTTATTTGTGGAGCTGATCATACAACTGCATATTCATTGTCACGTGCTGAAGTTTATAGTTGGGGATGGTATGCTCTTCATCCTTCAAAGTCTTTCAAAAATGTTTTCTTTCTGTTAAATTAAGAAACAAGCCCTTTTTTCTCTCTCTCAGCTAATACATAGTTTCTAGCATGAGAGTGCAAAGCGGTTTGAAGTTTCCTATGATACAAAACAATTGATAGTTTTTGTCAATTTGAATCTCTCAGAAGTAAAATAGATAATCTGATTACTCGATTAGATGTTGATTAATGATGATGAATATATGCACCATAATAGTTGTCTTCATTGTAAATCTAAATTAAAGGTTGACTTGATTCAGATTTACTGACTTTTAGAGGTAAAATTGATCCAGTTGATTGTTAGTTTGTTTGGTTGACTGCAAACTTCACAAAATCACTTTTAACTATCTAGTCTAGCATATATTTCCAGTACCTTAGGAAATTCTTGTGTTGATTAATGATAATATTAATTAATCATTATAATATTTTACCTCATTAATGAGGTGGTACATTTTGGTGAACTGACAGTGTGTAGAAACTATACATTGTTAGTGCATCAAATATAAATCCAAATAATAAACCTTTGCTTGCAAATTGGCCCTGTGACTTGGGAGTCAGTGTCATCCTGTAGCCAGAGGTCTTATGTTAAAAGATGAGTTAAACGTTAGTGTGGTCTGTGAGTTACCTTCCCAAGAAAAGATCCACCCCGTATCGAGGGATCTGCATCGAAGAAAATAGTTTTTCCTCATGTGATGTCTTCATGAGTCTCAATAATTGGCTATGGTCTGTTTCATTAATTTTATCCTTTTTTCCATGCAGGCTTATATTAAATGCTTTCTGCATTGTTAAGTTAATAATTTACATTTATGTAGGGTGTTTCTTGTTTGTGTCATCAACTCATCATGCAAACATTGTATTACTAAGTAATAAGCATTTTGGTATTTGTCTCAGTTGCAGGGTTTTCTATTTCCCATTTCTTTTTACTCCTTTTTACTTGTTCATGTAGGACTTTAGAACAGTGTACTGTAGTCATAGATGTAATGTTATTAATATCATGTTCTCAGAATTTTAGCGATTTTTGAATTCTCAACTTTTACCAATAACATCGCTTATTTCTCAGTTTAATATTTTCCTTTTCTTTTATGTGTCTATTTTCAACTCTTATTATAATGTGTGACTAGTATTGACTGCTACTAACCAGGGGTGACTTCGGAAGACTTGGTCATGGAAATTCTAGTGACGTGTTCACTCCTCAACCGATAAAAGCATTACATGGTCTGAGGATAAAACAAATTGCTTGTGGAGACAGCCATTGTTTAGCTGTGACAATGGAAGGAGAGGTACAAAGGTAAGTATGGTTTTTAGATCTCTTGCTATTACTTTTTACAACCTGATTAATATGGATGTTTATGTTTTATTCCAAGTTCACCATTCTAGGGTTCAAAAAGTGATAGTTTTTGATGGTTAACCAAATGTTTGGTTAACTATGTTGATTAATGCTTAGAGTTTAACTTGCGTTGCATAGAGAAGCTATAAATAGTAGTTAACTTTAAGCGGCTGAGCTTGGGTATCAAATTTATAATGCACCTATTATACTAAACTTAGGGATTGGAAATACATGTTGGCTATTGTGATCTTGATGAAATAGGCTGTCATTGTAAGCACAGGTAGTTCAAGAGGCTATTCTGTGGTCATTAGTAAATTAGAGGAACTTTGACGTCTGAATGCAAAGGATCCATGAAAGGGCTGGAATGCATGCACTTAAATGTAAAACGCTTTCATTTTATAAAACCATTACCTTGAGCATTCATTCCCATGCTGGAGAGCCATCATGGAAGAAAGATTTATTGTGAAAGAATTGAGCGACATAGCTAATGTAGATTTCAATTTATATTATACTTGATTTAATGTTGTTGTTGTTGTCTTTTTTTATTTTTTTTATCTTATAGTTTGCATATGAAGCTTTATATTAATAAGAAAACTTTGTCATTCCAAAGAATTTGTTCCAATATGACTTGGTGTAAACAATAACGAACTTAATCCTTTTCTTACTGTATTGATGTGCTGCATGGCTACACTTATGACATTCTACACTATCTATGACCTTATCCTCAGATGTGCAAAAGATAATTTCTTTTTGACTGTTTTGTCTGTCCCTTCCACTTTTGACAGGGGCACGAGTTAGTGTGACTGAAGGCAATCCCTATTGTTTGTTGAACTATCATGCATATGATTCAATTTGTCTTCCTTTTTCTGAACCTCTCTGTTTTGATTGAGCACATTCACCCAGAAATCTACAAAATTGTTTCAGCTATACCATGGTAGCCATTGATGATGAACTTAGTTGACCACTCATATATCTCATGCTTTCATTTGAGCTTGCTGGCAAAATTCTTCTCACTTCCTGATAAGACTTATCATGAGATTTATGTTGTAAGTTTCTGGCACTGCAGTTGCTAATACAACAGCACCTGTTCGCATATCTCTTCTACATTCTAATTCATGATAATTGATCATTTTAAGAGAGCCAATTGTGTCTCATTTTCCTGAAAGCTGGTCCGAGTTCTGTGTGACAGCAGAATCAGCTGTCACTGGTCCAGGATTATAGGTTTATTGTCTTCTGAAGAAGCTTGTCCCAAACTTTTGTATTGTTCCTTCTTTTAATTTATGTTTGTGATAGATGCTATCATCGATGGTTTTTCTTTTTACCTTCTTTTAATGTTTTCTTTTTGGAATTTAATTGAAGTTGGGGAAGGAATCAAAATGGTCAACTTGGTCTTGGAACCACTGAAGACTCTCTTGTACCTCAAAAGATTCAAGCCTTTCAGGTATTGTATGTTTTGTGGTATCTTATAACAAATGTTCATGCAATGCTCTATTTCTTCTCTTGGTTTGTACTTTAGCATTAAAAGAAATGAGGCTCTGCTTGTGCATCCAGGTTCCTTGCTTTTGTGACCTTCACAAAATGTGTATTTATTTGCTTGTTATGAATTGCTATAGACTGAAAAGTTGCATTATATAAACTTTTAAATCATTGAATGTCAACATCTATGTGGAATTTGTTATATAATCAAATTGAATGCTCCATTTACCTTGTTATTCTGGCCAGAGAAGAAAGAGGATTTGTCACTGGGTTTCCTTTGAGTATCTGGTGAAAAATACACAATTACATGAAGGAAACCTGTTATTAGGATTATTTAAGTTCAAAGTTCTGAAATCTCTAAAGCAGGTTTACATTTGTTGAGAATAGTATTTGCATGCTGCTGAACTTTGGAGTCCTGTTTTAGCCAAAAAAAGGGAAACTTTGGAATCCTGTAATCTTAATGAGCATTAGTTTAAAATTTTAAATATCTCTATTTAATTTATTTCTTTTCCTAAGACTACTGAAGAATCTGTATTGATACTTTGATCAAGCTAAAGGTTGCATACATATTTTAGAAGTGGTTATCTCCTTGAATTTCATGTCTGTTGTAGGGTGTTTCTATCAAAATGGTTGCTGCTGGTGCTGAGCATACTGCAGCTGTTTCAGAAGATGGTGCCCTCTATGGATGGGGCTGGGGACGATATGGAAACTTGGGCTTAGGTGACAGAAATGATCGCTTTGTTCCTGAGAAGGTTTCTACTCTCAATGTATGTCACAGTGCTCCTATTTGTATGGCCTCTTTCTTTACTTAAGTAACATTTATAAGATTCCATAAAGATGATTGACCATCCTAAATGAATATGCTAGACAGTTTGTTCCAAACATCTGATGTTTAGGTTGACTTGCATCTATTATATAATTTGACATGATTGAGGGAAGTCTATATCAGGTGCTTTAATTATTATCCTTGGTTTTTTTAAAAAGGCCTTTCTTTCCTTTCCTTTCCTTTTTTTTTTTTTTATCTTCAACTATTTAGTTTCCTTCC